TATTTAAGATTAAAAGACAAATAATTTTTAGATAGTTTAGAGATTTTATAAAAAGAGATTTATGGGTCCATTTGTTTTGACTTATTTCATGAAAAAATTCACTTATTATTTTTTTTAAAAAAATCTATTTTGTGATTGTTTAAACTTTTGAAAATAATCAAAATTCAAAAAAAGTATATTTCTGATAGATATCATAAAATTTTAAAATAATATAATAATAAATTATTTTTATAAAACAAAAATCAAGAAAAAATATCATAAAATTTAAGAATAACCAACTAATAATCACTTTTTTAGTTATTATACATAAAATAATATTTACTTTTTATAAAATCTCTACCAAATAAATATCTTTTTATAAAATCTTTAAACTATTTAAAAATCACTTTTTGTTTTTTTTTTCAAATAAGAGAATTGCTTTATGGAAGACCCAAATTACTCCTCTTTCAGCCACAAACATTGACACCCTTTCATGTGTTAGATTAAGAAATTATGTGCAACAATTGATCGTAAATTAGTGGATTTCTTTTGGGGTATTGAAAATTCTAAACGCAGCATGCATTTGACCAGGGAAGACATCCTATTTTTCTCCTGTCAGAGATGGTGGCTTAGGGCTAACAAAATACGATGAAAACAAATGTGTCTCTTCTAGCCAAACAAGTTTGAAGGATCATGAATGCAGAAGAACATTTACTTTTGGGGAATACTTTAAAACCAAATTAAGTATATTAACCGTTCTAGCTCCTGCGATCTTTAATTGCCCTACAATGCCTCGTGGTTTTGGAAAGGAATTTACAAATCTGAGAACCTAATAAGAGATTACCTATATTGGAAAGTTAAAAATCGTGAGTCCATATCTATCTTTGACGAAGTGTGTATTTGGATTAAAAAATTCACAACTGATGTTAAAATTTAACTGAAGTTAGCAAATTGAGATTAAGAGAAAAGTTTGTAACTGTAATGTAATTTATGTTTGAATATTTTTTTTACAAAAGTCAATTGGATAAAATAAAATTTATTTGGATAATTTAATTCAAAAGTCAGTTGAGATATATAATGACAAAAACATACATAAATTTTCTTATGTTTTTACTATACAAATTTATTTAATTTATTATAGAGATAATTTAGTGTAAATTTTTTAATTCCATATATAATGATTATACTTAGCCAGTCAACTTTTTTTAAATTGGGTGAATTGATTATTTTATCTTATATTTAGAAATAGCAGGAATACTTCCACTATTAATTCTTTTTTTTTTTTTTGCCGTCATCCTATGAGGTTTGTTCACAATTAATTAAATTAGTAATCTCATTCTTTTCCTGATAAACTATTCCCTGGCCAAATATTAAATTATTAAATGAATTTCTCAGGACGATATGAAAGTAGAGTAAAAAATCTAGTAACTTGTTCTAGAGCTCCTTTGATCAAATGAATGAAGTGAGAAGTGGGTGAAGAGGGTAAAGTTGGGCACTCTGAAAGATACTGAAGAGAGAAAAAACTGGTAAAAACTCAATAAATGCTTCCAACGTCCACCCCATTCCTGAATGCTAGTTGAAAAGCTCTACCCAATAGCTTTGTTCAAAATGCCCAATCTCTTCCAATGCCAATTCACTTTTCTTTTTTAATGTCTCAACTTAGGTTTGGATCATCCCAACTTTAGTTGGCATGTTATCCAAACATACTCAAAAATTGGAAGGCTTCTTCCAACATGAATTTGGTGCGGGATCTAAACATATCTAAGGTAGCAGATCTGGTCAATGAAAATCCAATCCTTGAACTGTCGTCACATGTAATGCTCCTCTTGACCTCTTGTGAAGGGGGTCTATGATGATGTCCTTGCTAGAGTTGTTCTCAACAGGGTGAGAAGGTACCTATTTCCTATACTAATCCTGTTGGTAAGTTAATATGGGGAGAATGTACCTATACTGTAACGAAGGGATTTAACATTCTCAATAATGATACCACAGTATTCCTGCTATAACTCTAGTTTTTGGACTCCACCTTGGAGTCTTCAACTTCCATAGAAAACACTTTTTATTCATATGGAAGCTGGTGCATGAAGCTCCACCTACTAGGGATGTTTTGAGGTCACATTGTCTCAATAACTCTATTTCATATGTTTTAGGACGTGACTGTGCAGAGAGACTATGCAAGACCCTTTTTGTGACAGTCCTCTCATAAAAGCCACTTGGTTTGACTCCCTTTCTATCGAATCCACAATCAACGGAAATCAAGACTTTCTTGATTGGCTTCAGCTAACCTCTAGGAATCTCTATCTTGATAATCAACTTCACATACTAGAAAATATATGTACTTTGTGTCATCTCATTTGGCAAAAAAAGGAATGAGGCCAGCTTGCATGTAGACCGCAAGTTTTCTCCCACGCAAATTATGTTGAAATTCCATAAAGCAATTTCAAATTTCTTAAGGAAGTCTGTAAATGGACATCCTTTGGTAATGCTTCTCGATACATTATAAGACTTCTGATTCAACAAAATGTTGAGCAATATTCGAAATCTAATTACTCATATCTGAGATTTTGAAAACAGGAAGTTAGAAACAATTAAGAAACAGGAATATTTTATGTGATGTCAATATCAATCTCGATCATGAGGATCTTCACTTTTCCTGTTTTGGAAGATCTCCAACTTCGCTGTGGGAATCATCTGTGGTTGCTTGTATCCGAGGTGTATTGTGCTAGATCAAGAATTTCACGGTGGAACATCTGGGGGATTGTTCTGACTTAGGATCTCTCATCCTCACAATGGAAGACGAGAGCTACGGAATTCTCCATGTAATTTAGTTACCGAAAGTATTTTCTCTCTCTTGAAGTTGAACGCAGTGAACGTTTCTGTTGAACTATCTAATTTCCCTTTTTTTTTTGTTAAAAGTTACTCCCACAATTCAAAAATATAAAACATTTTTTAAGGAATTGTATGTTCAAAAATGTCAGACATTTTTAATTTTTTAAAGTGTAATCATTGTCTTTTTTTTTAAGTGCCCCTATTAATAATAACTTTATATTTATTGTAGGATGTTTAAAAGAGGTAAATATAAAAAGATAAAGTTACTTGAAAAGTAAGTAACTACTTTATTAGGATAAAATTCGGTTAAAAATAATTTATATTTTTTAACGGAAAGAGTAAAATTTAGCTTGATGTTTTTTTCTTTTTCTTGTAAATCTCCTTTTATTATCAAAAAAATGAGATTTTTTTTTAAAAAAAAGAGCACAAGTATTGGAGACTAACAAATTCACCCCAATGAAGTTTAAAATTAAATAAAATAAAATTTATATTTTTAATATGTATATGCAAAATAAAATTTCAAATATAATAAAATATTTTGTTTTTATATTTAATTGAAATAAATTACATATTTTATATAGACTAAACTAAATTATTTTTAAATTTTTAAATTTATATTTTATTTTTACATTTTAAATATTAAAACATTCATGTGCATCACGTGGAATAAATTTAGTTATATTATATTCTCTCCATTAAAAAATGTAAGGCATTTTTAATTGAAACTCATCCCAATAAAATAGTTACCTACTTTCCAACTAACCATATCTTTTTATATTTACTCCTATTAAATATCCTACAATAAATATAAAGTCATCATTAATAGAGGCATTTTTTTTTTAAAAAAGGCAATGATTACACCTCAAAAGATTAAAAATGTCTTACATTTAAAACATCTAATTCCTTACAAATGTTTTACATTTTTTAACAGAGAAAGTATTTATGATAATAAATTTTTGAGAAAATTGGCACAGTGGTCCTAAAACATATATACCCCAAGAATTATGGATAGAATTTATAAAAATTTGGAGCATGGCCCTTCACAAATTTAATTAGAATGTGATATTCTTTCTTTACCCAACAAAAACTCCCCTCAACAAATATAAAATTTTTGGTGCTATATATCCAAAATAGAGAAAAAAAATATCCCACATAACTAGTCCACGATTTAGAATTCCTTATTATATGCACCTAACAATTTAAAATAAAATGTAAGATTTTTTTTAGATAACAATAACAACTTAGAGGTAGAATTCCACATTGCCAAAAATCATTTTTTATTATCTGGTTGAAGTTGGCTTGGCTTTTCATTTCTAGAAGCAGAAGACTAGGCTAGGATCTATATTGAATTTTTACTATCTTCATATCTCTCAATAACATCAATTTTTTTATGGATTGTATTTGATTCGTTTTGGATAAATAATTATGTATTTTTTGTGTTACTGATTCGAGATACAAAATCATTGATATATGACTGTCTGTATATCAACGATAAACAAGTGGGTGAGTTTTATTGATATAACTAATATATAGTATATCACTGATATACTATTGCAGATTAATATAAACAGACAATCAAATATAAATTTGTTTATCATTAACATGCAGATAGCCGTATATCAATGATGTAGTATCGCAAATCAATAATACAAAAAACACATAATTATTTTCTCAAAACATATCAAACACAGTCCACAAAATATTTTAGACTCTTAACTTATCACAAAAAATTAAATACCTAGGCTAATAAAATAAAAAAAAATCATGAATTTGTAGCTTCGTTTTCCTGCCGGCGTGCTCCTTTCCCTCGAGTATTGTCAATGCCTTTTGCCTCGTGTTTGTCTTTTGTATCCGTAATTGTAGCTCGCTCACACTACTCTACTTTCTTCTGTCTTTGAACTATTTCTTTTGTCACAACTATAGCTTGTGTTTTTCTATCTTGTTCGCTTGATTTCTCACATTTTGAGCCTTTTTTACATTGCAAAAAGTAAAGTATTATAATTTTAAAATAGCAATTTTGTAAATTAAATATTAACTAAATATTAAAGAAAAAAAAATAAATATCAACTAAATTTAAGAAAAAAAACTACCTCTTTTATTTGAATAGATTATTTTTTTATTTAATTTTATAATATGAATTATGCGTGTAAAAGTCCCATTATTTCATAACTTCTATGATAGAGCACGCTTGACAAATGACAAGGCTTTATGTTTTGGCGCTTGGTGGTTAACTGCTTCGCGCTCTAGCTCTTGCTTCGTTCCCATTTTCCAGTGCAGAGATTTCCCAACAATTGGAATCCAGCAAGAAAGATCCAATCTTCATAACAAGTTTGTGGAGAAAGTTACAAGCTTTCCTCACTTGACTAAAGGAAAATGCGAGCTTCTTTGTGCAAGATTCTCGCCTCTTCTTTTGTTGTTCGTTTCATCTAGGTCTGCGTCATACTCCTTGTGCTCCTTCGACCTTTTTCCTTTTTGTCCTGGTACTTTTCTCTTTTCCATTTGATTCCCTTTTCCCTTCCCCGATTGTGCTCGAATTTGTTTTGCTATTTGCTTCTGAGCCTGAGAAACAGTGTCTCTTGAGGCCTTTGGGTCCTTTCTCTCTGTGTCTCTATCTATGCCTTTGGAATGTCTCTGGGAAGGTTTGAATTTATTGGCGGAACACACACACACACACACTTCTCTAGTTTTACATGAAGATACCTTACTTAGTTAACACTAGGCTAAACTCTAAATTCGTAATCATTTTTCAGATAAGCTTACCAATGAATCGCTTTTGCATCATCAATTCGTTTTGTCGTTTTCGTTGTTATTTTTAGGCATTCCGGTTCAAATCTATTAACTTCGCTATAATTGTTTTGATTGTATTCTTCTTTGGAAATTAGACTATTTCTGAAGTTAAAGGTCGTCCCATTTTATGAGCAGACAAGACGATTGTCCTTTTCTGAATATGCTTCTCGATGTCGCTGACATGGTTATGACGATTGTCCTTTTCTGAATATGCTTCCGGATATCGCTGACATGGTTATGTTTTTATCTTTGTGTTTTCACAGAACAGCTTATCCAAGAGGTTTAACAAGTTTTCTGGGAACATATGCTTAAGTTGGATCTAAGGGAGAGAAAATTTTGACTATGGGGGATCACTTCGTCTTGCTTGTAGATAGGTTGATTACTGAGTCCACACTAGAAGCTGCTCTGGAAAGCCAAAAACGGTCAATGGAGGTGGCATCCTCTGCTGTGAAAGATACAGAGGTTGACGTCTCTGTAGTGAATATGGATATTGGAGACATGAGATCTCAGGGGAAATTGGTACAGTGCAGGATATGCCATGATGAGGATGAATTCTCCACAATGGAGACACCTTGTTTGTGTTCTGGTAGTTTGAAGGTGAGGCATTCTTTTATGAACCCCCCCCCCCAAAAAAAAATATATATATATATATCTGAAAGTTTTTGAGGCATGAATCTGTGAAATCATGGTCTTGAATTTGATGGAAGAACAATGTGGATTCTCATAGATACCTTGACTTTGTTGTGAATTGCTTACCATCACATCGTTGTTTTGTTGAAAAGTTGAGAAAATTTTCATTTTATTGTGACTCACGTGGTATGAAATATGAGGACTATAAGCTTTTAATACTTGATGAGGTATGAAATAGAAGAAATCAATATGCTTACCCTTCTGTGTAATTAAAGGATTTTGGTTTAGTGTAGGGGAGTAAATATCTTGATAGGATTTAGAGTGGCAAGTTCATTTATCAAATGAATTTTGTCTGCATGTTACTTTTGTCTTTCTGGTGACAAGAAAGGACACAGCAAAGAGTGACTAGGCTATGCACACTGTTCCTCCTCGAGATCCTGAGAATGTCATCCTCCAAAATGACTTTAGGTTCTGTGAGTGATTGATCTAAAGCGTGAAAACCTAAAGGCAGCATAAGAGTGAAGCTCACCAAGAAGTCCACGCTTCTATTTCCTTCTTGATGTGCATGATTAAATTCCTCTCTCCAATCTTTATCCAATAGTTTCTTGATTCCCATTTATCAGTCTTGAAATATTACAAGCATGTAGAACAGACTTGTTAAGTGCCTACAGAGCAAGCAAGCTGTCCACCTCCATACAAACTTGCTCATTATCTTCTTCTCCATTCTAATTCAAGGCCATCCATGATCTCCTAAAGCTCAGCCTGAATAACAGTGCAATTCTAATGTTCCTGCAAAAGCCCACTAGCCAACTCCCATCAGAGTCTCTCATCACACCAGCACCTGCTAAACCATGGTCAATCACGGTTTTCATCCACCCACGAGCTAGCTTGCACCAATCAATATCCCTCATAGTAATGACTTTATGAGATCCAGATAAGTTCTGCAATTTATTCACAGCTTCCGTTGCGTAATGAATCATGATGAAAATCTCATTAAAGACATTCACCAACTTCTATTCTCATTTGCAAACGTTTTATTCCTTTAATCCTATAACCTTTTCCAGCATGTTAAGCCTAAACTGGTGTTCCATTTGCGATCCTGATTCTCTAGAATCATTCCAAGTTTTCAGCAAACCCCTTTTCAAATGATTTATTTAAAAATGTTGCTAGCTGCTCTCTTGGAATTAGATGGCTCCAAACATGTATAGAAATTTCACATATTTGGAAGACATGGTTAATATCCTCTCTCCTGGCCACATCTTTCACATAAATCAATGTGGCTCATGTGTCTTCTGCATCTTTCTGTGTTTATCAGCTGGTTCCCTCCCATTACAAGCCACAAAAACACCCTAAGTCTTTGGGCACCTTGCAGATAGCATAGGGATAAATAAGATACCCTGTTAGAATACAAATTGTGTCCTCCACAGTCAAGCGTAGTTGGGAAAGTGATTCAGAATATTGTTGACTATAATGTAGCTCACTTTTCTTTACACTCATCTGTATTTACTGTATGTCGTTACTTTGGTACATGCGGAAGATTAGATTGGCTGGAGTTGGATCAAATAGAAGCTTTTGCTGTCATAATTTATCTTTTTCTGAATACATTTACAGAATGTTACAATTAAAGCAGTCATTTTGCTCAAGATTCTGAAATAGTTGGCATCGTGTGTTACACTATCTCCTATGATTAATAGTCTAACATCCTATGACTAGTTGGGCTTTTGCTTTTTGCACATTTAAGTGATGCCTAGCCTAGCTTACATGCACTTTATGTAATCTGTCTTCTTGGTCCGCTTAAAGGGTGGCTGGACCAGGGGAATCTCTGCAACATTCCTTGCAGTCTGGTGGCCTGATCAGGGTTTGAAGCTATGCCTCCAGGGCAACCCTTTGGTTTGACCAGACAGACTTCTTAATCAACATTATAAGATGTTTATAAAGGTTAATGAAATTGTAGAATTTTGTTATATGAGCAGCATTGACCAAGGCGAGATGTTATATGAGCAGAATTTTGTTATATACATGCAAGTCAGTATGAGGCGAGGCGAGATATACAGACCTCCAGTCTCTATGTTTTGGTCAAAGTGCACTAAACATGCATTACTAAACTCATTTGCACGGCCATACAATTTAAGTATGGATAATAGTTGTAAGTTGCATGCTTCTGAAGGAATTGTGTCGTTTATGTAATCATATTCTTTTCTTTTGGCTTTACCAAACTCAATTTTTTCTTTTCAACTGGAATGATGCTATCTTATCATCAGTATTTCTGAATATCTTGCTCATATTTATCTCATTTGCACTCTTGTAGTTGACAGTTTAAACTTTCAATGCTTAAGATATATACAATTTTTTTTTCTCAGTATGCCCATCGACAATGCATACAGCGGTGGTGTAATGAGAAAGGAGACATCACATGTGAGATATGCCTCCAGGTACTTAAAAGTGTTTCCATTTTAATATATACTGTTTATTTGCAGCCTTCAGGAGTTATGAAAAGAAATAACATCTGCAGCCTTTAGGAGTCATTTTGGATGTATCATATTACTTCTCTTATGTGTCGGTGATTGGTGGTATAACTTGTATGATTTTTTTCAAAACAAAATAAAATTAGGTTTAAACTAACATTGAATTATGAGTTTCAGCAATTTAAACCCGGTTACACTGCTCCCCCTCCACTGTTTCGATTAGGGCGTCTTCGAATGAATTTCAGGTAACTTTTGTGCAGTATGTTGCAATTTTTTTCTGCGACCAATTGCTTCTTAAACCTTTTTTTCCTTTCCACTTGTCTAATTTTCTTTCCATGCCATCTTTAGCAGGAGAAATTGGGAAATATCAAGAAGAGACTTGCAATTGCATAATGCTACTCAAATTGTTCGTGTTGTCTCGCCTGACCAGAATCTTGCCGATTTTACCTGTGATCAGTGTTCAGCATCTGCTATCTTTTGTTCAATTTCAATCTTTGTAAATTTCTCTCACCCTCTTTTTCTCTCTGCTCCCTTTGCTTCACCCACTGACGCTGAATTTTGGATCATATCCGTTATGTGCAGATCTTGATTATACTGATACTGAAACATGCTCTCTCGCTACTTGAAATGATTGGAAGTGTGGAATATTCCTTGCCAATCTATATGGTATGCTTCATTCAACATTGAATTTTAGTTAGCACATTTTGCTGATGATCAGTTGCCAAGGCTTTGTATTTTGCTTGAATTTTTGCAGTTATTGCTTGCACGGATTCTGGGTGTGACTTTGTCTATTTATGTCATGCGGAGAACTGTGAACTTTGTGCAGCAGCAGCGGCAACAACGACTAGTGGTGAGTTTCTACCTCTCTCTCTCTCTCTCTCACACCCCGCAATTAAGAATGCATTTGATACACAGGCTTCTTCTCAAGAATGTAAAATCTACGTTTCTGTATCATTTAGACTGTAAATTTTATGCTTTTCGTGTTTGGTATGCTCGAATTTCTATTCAGTAGATTCGTTCCCCAGCACTTGAAAAATTAAAATTATTGGGTACTAAACATGAGTTAAGCCTAATAGAAGATTTTTAGCTACTATAATGATATCATTTGTGTTCTTTTTTACAGGAACCTCGTACTGCATCTGGTAGTCAATACAGCAACCAGAATGACCAACAGGCTTTGCAACGTCAGCCACAAGTCGCTCCTGTATAGTTCTTTTATTTTTTTGCCCCAGAAATAAAGCATAGTGTTTGTGGCAGATGCAGTAAATGTTAATCTGTTTTTGAGATTCAATTCAGATAGATCAGTTTCCCAATTACTGGGAGAGAGAAGATCCAATAGTTGCACTTCGATTTAAAAAAAAAAAAAAAAAGGGTGCTCATAATTCATGAGAAGCCTTGCATGCAGATTTGAACATGTTCAAGTACGTTGCAGGATACAGTCAGAGACACGGATGGAAAAGTGGAATTGCAACGTATCAATATATTGTGGATTGAGGTCCGAAATATATATATATATATATATTATAGATTCAAATATCTTGCATGTCGCCTTCTAGCATAGTTTGAATCGCAAGATTCAACAAATGAAAAAGACATGAACTATCGAGTTAATTGTACGTTAAATAAAATGAAATGTGAAATGTGAACAAATATCAAGAGAGCTACTCCCATAGCAAGGTTTGATGTTTGAATCATGTTGATAAAAAATGATATTAAGAGTTATCTCTATTGTGGATCTCACAATATTGGAATCTAGAACAATTGTTAGCAGAATGTACAAGATACATGTAACCAGAAAGAAAGGAGGAATATGACCGATTCCACTAAGTTAAATAACAAGAAGGCCGATGTTAATCCATTCATTTGTTCGGTATAAAATGTCGAACCATCAAGAATGTAATCTCTTGCTCTTGACTTACGCAAGTTGCTTTTGATCATAACAAGGAATTCAGAACTAATTTCAACCAAAATTTTGCACCTTGATACTCTTTCATCCCCAATTTTTTCTAAGCTGAACTAGATGTGACCATTGCCCAAAGGAAAGTTAGTGAAAATAAGATGTAAGATCAATAATAATCTAGTCCAAATGTAACCAAGAAACTTATTCTGTACACATCTCAAAAAGTACTTTGGCTATTCTCTCTGGTGACCAGAGCCGCAATTCACCTTGTCTGCATTTCTCTGTACTCCGTCTCTTCTAATTCTACTTCCAATTCTCCTTGGCCTGAAACATGAAACAGAAACTCAACTCATCTCCTACATTGTCACTGACATGGTTCTAGAACATCTATGATTAGCTAGCTTTAGTATAGTACCAAATCTTTTATAACCATTAAGTAAGGAATTTGATCACTAGAAGCCTACCCTCAATTTAAAAAAAAAAAAATGAAAGCATATTAGCCACAATGACTTCAATACATCAAGCTTAAAATACTGTGACTTGGAAGAAGTTTGAAAGAATCCATTACCCTTCCACTCATATGTTCTTTAAAGAGTGTAGTTGGTGAAAATACTTCCGACTTTTTGTTGGGAACGCCAGTAGCAGGCGAGTGCTCCAAAACCACAGCTAGCAATAGCAATTGCCAATGCAGCACCCAAAGGCACCACAAGTGCATTACTTGATACTATTAAATCTTCAACAGCTCCTTCGGTTCCATCATTATCACCTATGCCCTTGTTCTTATATAGAGATGCAAGCTTTTCTCCATAGTATCGTGTCAAAAACTTGTAAACCTCATCCTTGTTCCATTCAACTCTGCTGGACCTCCGGCCAAGGTCTTGGTAACAAGTAGGACAAAGCTTCTTTGGAGGCCATGTCATCTTCGGAAATTTGGGATCACCAGTTCCCAGAGATGCTTCTTCTTTCATCAACCTTTCGTTAACCATATTATGGGCACTCCACAACCAGAGAGCGAAGTCACAAGCATTGTTGATTGGACTAGACACACTAAAAGTTAACATTATTGATTGGTCACAAGCTAAGGGAAATTTATGGGCTTAAATGATGAAACTGAAATGTAGTCTCGATTCAATTTACCTTAAACACATCTTGTAAAAATGCTGCCGACATTCCTCACAGATGAAAAAGTTGTGCACAAAATCACACGTACCATTAAAGGCAAACTGACTTTCTCCATCCTCGATTCTCACTGAAAGTGAATGCAGGAGAACCCATAAACCGCAGCTGATAAAGAGGACACAAGAATGATAAGACAGGGCACCTTGTTCAAAGATGCTATGACATACTTTGTCACGTTATGCAGAGTCCAAGATTACTGAGAGGGACGAAGCCACTCAGTACATATTATTTTGAAAAACATGCAAAATAGTATCGTCATCAATACAATTACTAAAATCATTAGTACAAACACATCAATTCAAGCAAGGGAGAGGTCTCTTCTTTGAGAAGAGAAGAACAAGACATACAGACATCTACACAGATGCAAATTGGGGAAGGTCTCTAGCGGATAGGAGATCCACCACTGCGTACCCCACTTTGTGTGGGGAAACCTGGTAACTTGGAGAAGCAAGAAGCAACAAGTGGTTTCAAGTAGTGCTAAATCTGAACTAAGAGCTTTTGCTCTAGGTTTGCAGAGGGATATGAATCACTAAGCTGTTAAGAGAGTTCCAGGTTTCCCTATGACTTTTTATCTTGCCAATAAAGGTTCCCTATGACACTCCTATGAAATTATGGTGTGACAGCAAATCTGCAATTGATATGGCAAAAAACCCTGCCCATCACGAAGCACGTTGAGATTGACAAACATTTCATAAAGGAGAAAATTGAAGGGGGCATCGTTGATCTCTCATACTCACACTACAGATCAAGTGGCAGACATTGTGACGAAACCACTCAGTAGAAAACAATTTGAAGAATTACAAAGCAGGCTGTGAGCGATTGATATCTATTTCCCAACTTGAGGGAGAGTGTTGAAAGATCCAAGGCCAAAGCCCAAAACACTGTTTTACTTAGTTATTTTCCCGTCAATTGTTTTTATTAGTTCTTACTTAATATTATCATTTAATTAGGTCCATCTATATTAGGAACAAACATTAATCTGATTTACTGATATTGTTGTTGTATTAAGCTAACCTCACATGGTGGGATAAGGCTTGTTGTTGTGTCAGATTATAGCATGTAATTTTGGCAAATTATGTGGGAGCCAAGCCTATAAAACCTATTATTCTGTTTTATCGAATAATACAGAGTGTATACAGCATCTGTTTTTCTCAAGAAGAGTACACAGCTACTGAACAAAATTCCAACTTACTTTTGGATGTAAACAAGGGTAGTTAAATATCATGATTTGATATGGAACTGAAAACGTAAATATGAATGTAGAAGGCAAAGCAGTACCTAAAGCCCCTGGTATCATTCTTGCTGCCACGGCAGAACATCTACAGAAGAACAATCCAAGTAAACCAAAGCAATCAGAAACGTTCTCATTCTAAAAGGAGGGAAAAAAAAAAGTAAATTTCCATTAACAAGCACAAACTTATTTAAAAAAATAACTGATAAAAAGAGAGGAAAGCCACAGAAAAAAATAAAAATTGACTAAATAACATAAGATCCAAGGTCCTAAAAATTGGGAAAGTCTGGCAATTTTAACAAGAACAAGAGCAGAAATTTCACGTCAGACAGCATAGGATTAAAGAATATAATAATTCTGGTTAAGCATATAAATTATAACAAGGCTAGATATTTTCAAGAATTGCGATACAAAAGTAAGAGCAACTATATAATACCTTGAAAAGCGTACTTAAAAAAAAAAAAGGCAGCCTGAAGGAATACTTAAGGCAAGCAAAACTTCAGTGTGTTGAACAAATACCAGTAGACAGGGTAAGAACCATTATTACTGGAAATACTTCAACACAAGTACATGGATCCCACTTCTTGTTAATGCAAATTAGTGTGTTTTCCATGCAATGGAGCATGAATAGCTCATGAATAGTGAGACTTGTTGGAGTTTTAATACTATATATAGATATTTCAACACAGGTACATGGGTTCCACTTGGTATCAATAACCAATAGCATTCACCACCCATAGGCATATATTTTAACCCAGAAAATAGTATGTCAGTGACACAGAATGTGAAGATAAGTAAAACAATAACTCAACTCAAATAAATCATAATAATGAAGGGTAATCTCTTAAGACTGATGATTATAAGCATATTCATAGGCAAACCTGAACGAGGAACACAAATATCAAAGGAATCTCCAGCACAAAATCTCAATAACATGGTAACATCAGATACCCTTAAGTTCAAACACCTTTACTGACAATAATACTCCTGAATGAATAGTATGATAATCAGCCTGAATCTGAATTATTTCAATTATCCAAATACAAGCCCTCCATCCCAAATGATCATTACATAATTTACTAAGATGATAAGTAATTCTTTCTTCTCATCTGGCACTAGCTAGTTATACTTCTAACGAATTATATATTTTTTCTAATGCACATGACAACAGTAGGCCACACAAAATTTAACTAAATAAAATATCCAAGCTTATTTCACCCAAAGAAAAAATCAAGCTCACAGCATGGGCCACATAACAACAACAACAACAACAACAAGCCTTTATCCCACTAGGTGGGGTCGGCTACATGGATTGCAAGACGCCATTGTGCTCTATCATTTATTAAGCTTTTAGAAATATTATTAATTAAGAGATCACGTTCAACAACTTCCAAGAGTGTTCTCTTAGGCCTTCCTCTACCTCTCTTAATCGGACTCAAAGTTATATGTTCCACTCTTCTCACTGGTGCCTCCCTTGGTCTTCTTTGTACATGCCCAAACCATCTCAACCGATTTTCTACCATTTTTTCCTCAATAGGTGCCACCCTCACTTTTTCACGTATGTGCTCATTTCGAATTTTATCTTTACGTGTATGTCCGCACATCCATCGTAACATTCTCATCTCTGCTACTCCAACTTTATGCTCTTGCTGTCCCGTTAGAGCCCAGCATTCACTACTATATAACATTGCCGGTCTGATAGCAGTACGATAAAACTTTCCTTTAAGTTTATTAGGCACCTTACGGTCACAAATAACTCCTTTAGCTTTTCTCCAATTAAACCACCCAGCTTGAATTCTATGTGAAATATCTCCACTGATTTCGCCATCATTTTGAATAATGGCTCCCAAATATCTAAACTTTTCCACTTGAGGTATAATTTGATCTCCCAATTTCACTTCCAAATTATTTTCGAATAGTCCTTTATCAAATTTACAATATAAATATTCCGTCTTACTTCTACTCAGACGAAAACCTTTCGACTCCAATGTCCTCCTCCATAACTC